TATTTAAGCATTTTAAGGTCTAGCTTCGAACAATAATTTATATCCGGTTGTCAACAGTCAAACACGTGCGCTTTTTCGTTTTGTTGAAACTTCGTTGCCAATATTTGACGAGAAGCTTGATAGATCCTATCGAGATAATTCCGATCGAATCTAATAGTAAGCAGAGTTCGGGATGAAACGAAGAACGATAAGAGTTTTACTTGTGAGACAACAGAACACACGTTTATTATCTGAGTGCTTAGAGTAGCACGAACAATGACCGCACTTGTCGTTTATTTGAATTTAAACTAAAAACAACATTAGCTTGATTAACAGAGGCTTACGACAACGAGCTGTATACGACAAAAGCAAAAGTAAGCTTTTGTATAAATTTAACATACGATCTGTCCGCTAGTTGATCAAGGAAGACACAGTGAGAGAACATGATTCATCTCGACTACCGAGCGCCGCACGCGAATGCCATCTAACGTTATTCACTTATACTTCAACACGTTTTTGTACATTAAAAGTAAAATTATTAGATGAGTATTCTTTTCTACGTGATAATTAATAACAGTCAAATGTATTTTTTAGATGTTAGTTATTAATGTATTTTTTAACTTTGATGTTCAAGTTGATATTTTATTTACTGTTTTTCATTCATAAAAAATATTTCAGTCATCACCGATAATTTGTACTAGTTGCCAAAACTTTAAGAGAAAATGTAATTCCTCAGGAAAACTTTGACTAGCGTCCATTACAGCGATATGAAATATTTTGTGTTGTTCGCGATATTGTTCAAATGCAGGTGTATCGTCTCAAGGAATCTCGTCTGTCGCGACCAGTTATCCTCATCCGAAATTACACGAAATTAGGCGTATTTACGTACTAACTATTGTATCACATCAATATATATTCTGAATATTTGGTGATTTTTGTTAAATATACCTAATCAACTTACTAAATGTGTAAACCACGCACTGTTTGGGGAGACGCTGTTAATGCTATTTGTGTCATTCTATCCTTGTTTTACGTGTAATAAACGATGAAGATAGCATGATATAAATAGCGTTAAAAGCGTCTCCCCGCACTTTTGTGGGACTCGAAAACGTTTAAGCAGAAAATTAAATCGTTCGTCGCTTATTCGCTGTAGTTCGTGGTAGAACGTGTTACTTTTCTCTCCTATGATATTACGTGTTTTGCAATTCATTTCCTGTATTGTTTCTTATTTAAAATAAATATATAAGTGTACAGATACATAATTGGATTTTTACTTTATATTATTTAAACCACCTAAGCCTAATCTAATTATTAAGGAAAATGTATTATAATTACTCTTTTCAATGACATGGTTTCAAAAAGTCATGCTCCCGGGTTCAAATTTTGAAGTTACGCCACAGGCCATAACATGTAGTTGCGCTTGTTTTAGAGCCGAGACACAGCTGTACGTCTCCTGATTTTTTTCATATAAAAATAGCTTAACAATAGTTAAAATATACTAACCGTTTGGAGCCCTCGACATTTGTTGGGGACGAATCGAATTTATCGATATCTTCTCTCGAGTCTTCAGTTTCACTATAATTTGCTTCTACATCCTTATCACGTCGATTCTTATATTTATTATTATCTCTCAAAGCTTTCATTCTTACATCTTTATACATATCACCTCGGGAAATAATGTTGATATTTGATACATTCCTTTTGCTGTATTTCTTGTTCCGTTTGTTTTTGTTTTCGGTTTGTACTACATAAAGTCGATACAATTGCAGCAGTATCACTAATGTGTTCTTGCACGTGAAGAATATATTCATGTAACTAACTATCTGATAATGAATTATCAATATCAAACGAAATGCCAAAAATGGTCCATCCTGCAAAATATAAAATATATACAATTGATATATGTAGATATACACCGAATATATTCAGAGTTGGACTCTAGAGATATTAAAACAAATATTAAATAGAGACAATTAAGAGCCTTAATACGCTGTAGTTGGTGCGATTATATTATTAACATATGTTTCAAATCTTACATAAATACAATAATAACCGAACGTTTCGGCTTAATTCGAACCATCTTTTGCAGTCTTGCATAATTAAAATTTTTGGTACACAATCAAGTAATCGAAAGGAAGAAATAATAGAGTACAGCATGCATCATTTACATACGTGACTCTGCTTTTGTGAGCATTCTATCCTACAATATAAGAAATTTATACTGGTTTTATCCATTGCGTCGATCTTAAATTAATTTATTGTATTTTATTGTCCAGTTATGGATTGCAGTAGCTCGCACTTAGTTAAATACCTGGCTGACGGTTACACACTCTAGATTTGGCAATCTGAGAGACTTTCCATGCTGCACTTACTTCTTCGTACAATTACCTGATGGTGCATCATGACCTCATTACTCTTGCTTTGCAAAGTTTATACATGGTCCAGTCTCGAGTTATAAAGACTTCAAAAAAAAACTAATGTACGAAATTAAAAATTAAAACCTAAATGATATAGTCTTAACTAACCAAGTTAAATTCTATCAAATTAAAAAGTAAAACACAAGTGGTACTATCTTTGTTATTTGCTTAACTCTAATTACATGTATTATTTGTATAAAAGATTAGATACCAACAACTGGCGTCAAGTTAAATTCCACAAAATTTTACGTATTATTCATATAAAATTCGTATAAAAGAAATATTTGATATCAACAATTGGTGCGAAGTTAAATCCTATACCAAATTAAATAAATAATATTAATTCTGATATGTATCGTTCATATAAAAGATTTGATATCAACAACTGGTGCCAAGTTAAATCCCATATCAACCATATCAAATAAAGAATATAATCTCTCCAAGTGGTACTATCTTTGTTATTTGCTTAACTCTAATTACATGTATTATTTGTATAAAAGATTAGATACCAACAACTGGCGTCAAGTTAAATTCCACAAAATTTTATGTAACATTCGTATAAAAGATTTGATATCAACAACTGGTGCCAAGTTAAATCCCATATCAACCATATCAAATAAAGAATATAATCTCTCCAAGTGGTACTATCTTTAACTTTTGTACAATGAAACCTAAGTATATATCTTTGTATTCCTATTGAAGAATCTTCCCATATTCCGATCCAGATGACTTTAATTCTTCTTATATGAAATTTTTATATTACTATTCATTCAAAGACGTTTTCCTTTCTAACCAAAGTAGTAGTTATTTAATTCTCCTTTCTCTTCAAAACGTTATTCAAAACGTTATGACAAAATTGCATTACCTTGTATTACTTCTATTCAAGTGTTATCACAAAAAATTAAAGTAGTAAACGTTTGACCCTGCTGGATCGAATAAGAAAAATTATAAAAACAATTAAAAAATTTTAATAATTAACAGAAATAAATAATTTCTGTGTTACCACTGAACTCAATAAAATTATTATTATTATTGTTGTTATTATTATAAAAGATAATTACAATTTTTATGCAATACTGAATTTAATCTGAAGTTATACACTGAATAAAAAGAAATTTACTGTTATAACTTCTTTTTTATTTTCGTAACGCATATCTTACAAATACAAGTTTATTTATTCATACACTTAAATCCAGTAGCTTACACAACTTTCGTAACTTATACGACTGTATAATCTAATCCAAGGCTCGGGAAGATTTGCACTTCTCAGCCGATTTTCAAGAGGCTCCGTCTTCCGCTACTCCTCTCATCGCTCGCCCCACGCGCAGTCCAAATGTCGCTCGACGTTTAGGAGCGTACGACACTCGTAACATGAGGTCCACCCGCTTTGGGCGCTCACGCTGTAAACTTCATTCTATATCTTGCCGGGCTCTGATCTAATCGCATATATATACACGATGAACATTTTTACTCTCATGGGAATGTTTCTTATTTTTCTTATTCTGAATATTACGTTCATGATTTTAATACCGTATTATAGCAATGGCACACAAAAAAACTTTAGTAAAATATAAGCAATAAGCGAATTGACCAATCACAGTAAAGTCCGTAAGATCATAACGTAAGCAGTAATCAATCCACTATGTTGATTTTCTTACTGCTTACGTCTTACTGTCTAAATTTTTTGTGTGCTAGGGTCCTTATACTGTGATCCAGCAGCGCCAAGTGTTTACTTCTTTAATTTTTTATCGTAACATTTGAATGGAAGTAATACAAGGTAATGCAATTTTGTCATAACGTTGTAAATAATGTTTTGAAGGAGAATGAAATAACTACTACTTTGGTTGGAAAGGAAAATGTTTTTGAATGAATTACAATACAAAAATTTCATATAAGAAGAATTAAAGTCATTTGGATCGGAATAGAAAGATCCTTCGAAAGGAATACAAAGATATATACTTACGTTTCATTGTACAAAAGTTAAATATAGTACCACTTGGATTATATTCTTTATTTGATATGTTTGGTATGGGATTTAATTTGGCGCCAATTGTTGATATCAAATCTTTTATATGAATGTCGTTCTATTCTTCCGAGAAACAGATATGATTGACCAATTTCATGACTACGGTTGTTATTAAACCCCATTAAGCGTGCCATGTAACAGAGGTCATAGACCAAGTATTCCTATGATTTTTTGTAGTGGGAGGTGAAACTGGAAAACTGAGCACGACAATCGCGTTCAGCAGATTCAATTGAATTCAGCTGTTGCGGAGCGGATCCGTGAGCGCTCATCGCTATTGGTGTATTCTTTTATATATCGTTCAATATTAACGAGCTCTCACGGATCCGCTCCGCAACAGTTGAAGCTGCCTTCACATACAGCTAACTTGGGTAAGCGTAACTTGTGTCAGCCAATCAAATCGTCTCAACTAGAATAAGGCGTAGTAGCTAATACAATTTGATACGATTTGATTGGTTGACGCAAATTACGAGTTACAAATTCTAATGCTGGAGTCCCATGAGGCGTATTTACCGCGAATCGCATAATCGCGTAATCAATCAGAAGCGATCCGTTGCTGTAATTTCATGTCTTACTGAACATCTAGACACTTAATTCCTCGACGACGAACATCAAGACATTCATTTTCTCGATGACAAACACCGAGATACTATTTCGTCGATGATAAACACTTAGACACCCATTTCCTCGACGGCGAACACCTAGACATTTAGTTTCTCGATGGCGAACACCTAGACACTCAGTTTCTCCTACGAACACCTAGATATCCACTTCCTCGACGGCGAACTCGCAGACAACACCTACGCTAAACACTTAATGCGTCAATGAATATTCCTCGACAACGAATACTTTACACTCAAACCTCCACGATGGTCTCGATATTTCATTTTGAATAATTTGCGCCGCGCGCGTTACAGCCATCATGTGTGGTCACGTGCAAATGTGCAATGCTGCCAACGCTGGTTTGCTGGTTAGATAGTAATAACCAAAAGCCATCTATTATCGAAAAAATGAACCATACATTCTAAGCTGGTCGACGACGATAACAGACGACGTATCTGAATCTGAAAAGTAGTAGATCCGGACTTTACGTCATAATATCTCCGCTTGTAGGGCACGTAAAAAAAAAATAAAAGCACGTATAAAAGAATCGGAGTGTAAGGTATCGATTAAGTGTACTTAAAACTCGATCGGGACAGCCGTTATTAAGATCCTAATAATCTCGATCCGGCGCAACTTGCCGGTTCGCGTAAAAGAGCCACGGCAGTGTCTCGCGCCATGCTTAGCGCTGAGACACTATTGTGTCTCTAGATTTTAGTTATGCAAAACTGCTAAAGATGGTTCGAATTGAGCCGAAACGTTCGGTTATTATATTTATGTGAGATTTGAAACATATGTTATTAACATAATCGCATCAACTATCGCGTATTAAGACTCTTAATTGCTCGTTGTCTGTATTTAATATTTGTTTTAGATATACCCCCGAGCTTCGGCTAGAAGTTTGGAAATGCGATTTCTTCGCACTTCACGAATAGTTAAATATTTACGAATATTTAGTTGAAAAAGGTCGTAGAAAAGTTTTCGACCATGTCATTTTTTAAAACACAAAGAGAGGCCTTTAAATTTGCGTTCAAATTTTCTTTTCTACAATTTTGTTTCCAAATAACATAAAATCGATTTTGGAATATTTTTGTATTACTTTGAAGCGCCGCAGTACGATGAAATATAATCGTACAAAATTTAATGTAAAAATATTTTAAAGTTAGGCTGAGTTTTTTAAAAGCTTTTGAAAAAATTTGATACGATGACTTTTTGCAAAAATATCGAATTTTTTATTATGTGAAATTTTTGTATTCAATTTTGTAGGATATTTTTGTGTTTTAAAATGTGTGGTTGAAAATTTCTTTATTATTTTTTTTTCACTGAGATATTCAACTTTACATGAAATGCAAAAACATTGCAAGTGTTTCCACATTTTTAGCGGATGTTGTATATTACATATATGTATTTATGAATTCAAATAAATTTTAAAACTTATATATATATATATATATTAAGAGAGAAAGAGTTTTTTTTTTAGATTTGCTATGATTTATCATACCTTTTATTTTATTATTCAAAATATTTTTATTATTTCGATGCAGTTTTATAGTCTGATTATAATCTGGAATAACATTTAACCTTTTTTTTGCTGTGCGATTGCGAATAGTCATTTCCGATGTATTTTTGTATGTTTAACATGAATCCGTTAACAAAAGTTAGCCATCACGTCACAATTTTGAGAAAAATGGTATCAAAAAGGCCAAAAATAAACATTTTGAGGATCCTCAAGATTATAGCACCAACAACTAATTTTTTTTGCTTAATTCATATTTTTTTCATTATTGTTACACAAAAGTATAACTTCAAATAATTTCTATGGTACTTTATATATTTTTGAAGGTGCTTTATGTAAATGATTCAGGCAATGTAATAGTTAAAAAGACAATCAAATCTCTGATTATTTTAAGATATATTTTATACTATTCATTAACACATACTTGAAGAATCATGTTCAGGGCGATTCCCCATACATCAATGCTGCAGCAACTGGTTTCCGTTCGGACTTTTTTCCTGGTAACGCTACCAGATGACAATCGAGACTTCCTAGACTTGGTGGCAGTCAGGACAACTGTGAACTGCGTGAGAGACCATGCCCAAATGCCTAATGTCAAGTACACAAGTACAGGCTCTCTTGCTATCCTGTCTTCCTTGAACGAATCAAAGAACTCGATAATATCAGCTGCAGTACCAATGTAGACTAACAGCAGCTGACTTAACTGATCTCGAGTCAAGTCACCTTTCGGCAACATCCATCGGCCAATTATCAAAATTAACATTAAAAATTGTTCGATCAAAGTAACCCATGTTTCTGTGGAAATCTGTATATCCGGTAAACGAATATCAACCTAAATAACAAAAACAAGAGCTTACTTTAATTAATAAATGTAATTAAATTAAATGAATTCTAATAAATATGAGCATAAAGGCAATAGAAATCGGTGCAGTTAATAGTGCGTAAATTAAGATGTTTTTTAATTTATAAAAATTTTAATTAATCATAAGTATAAATTTAAATTCGTATGTTTCGGCTCAAGTTCGAGCCATCCTCAACGTAAACCTTTCGTGTATAAAACACTTACAAATTGTGAAAGAGAGATTACAACCTATTGAAAATTCGTGTACTACACATTACAGACGCATTGCTATATACGATGTTTCTTGCTATGGTTACAATTGTAGAAGGAATAAGACCCATCCTTAGTACTCTCAATCAGCTCCTAAGCTCAATGGAAAGGATTGCGCGTATCTTTGCTATAATTATTTTATAAAAGGTTGAAATAATAAGCGAAATTTATTTTTTACTATTAGTGTACCAATTACTCACCTCCAATTATTGTAACCAGATGACAAGCAACTAATTAAAATTATGCATTTTCCTACACGTCAATTGTTAAAAAATTATATAAAGAATTGTCACGAATAAAATTAAAATTATCGTCAAACGTTGACTAGATGATGGTCAACCGTAAAATGATGTACATTTTCTTAAACGTGTAGATCACATAGATAAACACCGTACACTGCGTGTACATAAATTCGTAAATAATTAACCAAATCGTTGTAAATTTGATGTAAGCCCTCTGTATCCGTATTTCAAATTTAACTTATTTTTCTGACTTTTTATATGCAGCATTTCTGAGATAAGCCTTTTGTTGTACATTCTTTCTAAATCCAGAATTCTGACTTTATTCCAATTAAAAACATGATTGTGATGTATCCTATGGCCTGTAATGACAGAATGTGTTATTGTTCTTCTACGTATATGATTAAAATGTTCCGATATTTTCGTTTTCAATTTTCTGCTAGTTTGTCCAACATAGGATGCATCACAATCATTACACTTAACTTTATAAACTACATTATTTTATTCGTATCTGGCAGAGATTCTTATATAATTTAATGAATTGATTTAATTTATTCATGCTGTACAAAGTGACTTTTTGTTGCATATTGTTAAACACGTTTTTAAATTTTTCCAACACACTTTTAACATACGGAAAGATAAGCCATTTACATTTTGAGGTCACATTTATAACTTTAGGTGTTTCCTATGATTTTTGTTTCAGAGTTTTCTTATTGATTAAACATTTGATTCTCACTACCATTATCGTCTCAAAAATGAAATGGATAGGATAATCATTCTTCAATAACATCTCTACAATTAATTCAAGATTTTTTTGATAAAACTCTGGATGTGATAAAAGACATACTTTGTCTGTTAGTCCCATAATTATGCCTCTTTTTTGGGAAAAGGATGTTAGGACCAAAAACTTAAAAATCTGCCCGACAGTATTGGCTTCCAGTACCAATTAAATTTAATATTATTATACTATTATCAATTATAATTGTGGTATCCAAAAAATTAATTTTGTTTCCCCCTATCTCTATCGTAAACTGTAATCTGGGATGATAATCATTGAATCTATTAAGAACTTCGCTGATAGCATGTAAAAACAGCTATGACGATATCATCTACACATCTATAATAAAAAGAGATAGGGAAATTTAGTAACCCCAGCATCACATTCTCCAAATCCTGCATAACCAAATCAGCCACGATAGGAGATAATGGTGATTCTATCGGGGCTCCAAATTTTCGTAAAGAAAAAATCGTCTTAGAATTTGGTCAGGAATACGTCTCTTCAGGGACACCTGGGTTGTGCTGAATCACCCTGTATATACATGTACATACAGAGACCCATTTTAATCGACGGATCCAAATATTGCCGTTCCCTTGCATTTTAAAAGAAAATGTTTCAGACAAAAGTTGTGTGGTTTCAAGGGAGCCATAAAATGGTACCATTGATTTGACCTTGGATAGTCGCTTAAAGGTCACATAAAGGTCACCTTCAATTTCTTAAATTAAACCCACTATTTTTCATTACATATTCTTGTAGCTTACCTTGAGAGCTTTCCAAAACACTACAATAACTGTACAATAACTACTGTATAGTCGGCATTAGCATTACGCAAGTTGTCCGATCGACGGTTAAAACCTTTTGACCGTTGTTCAGCATCATGTCCTGGATAACATTTGTTAAGATCAAGGCCATTGGAGATTATCCGTCTTATTTTCATTTTTGCACTAAAAGTTCATTTTTACGTAAAAATGAAAATAAGAAGTACAACCTCCAATGGCCTTGATCTTGACAAATTTCTCTCTCTCTCTCTTTCTCTCTCTCTCTCCATTTAAAAGATTCAAAATGACCTTGCCCTGACCTTGATAATGCTACTCAAGGTCAAACCAATGATATCATCTTATGTCCCCCTCTGAACTATACAACTTTTATTTGAAACATTTTTCCGTATCTACCATAGTTTTGGAAAAATCTTAATGCATTATTTAAAATGGGATACCCTGTATAATTAATTCACATTGAATTATTTAAGCATTAAAGATCCAACTTCGATTGTTATAGGAATGTAATTTCTAGTATTGATTATGTTTTCACATGTACGGTCTAAAATAAGATCCTTATTGTTTAGAAAAAAAGGTCAACTCAAAAAGATATTGGGTCATTTTTACCATACTTATTCCGCTAGGCCCTTTATCGCAATTTTTTTCTAGAAATATCTTATATACACGTACATATAATTTATAAAAATTGTATATCAATTTTCCATCAAATTTTCTTTAAAGAATTGAAAATAATAAAAATGATACCCACGCCAAGAGCTTCTTCCAGATGTTTTAAATCATCAGCTGCCAGATTAGATAAATCGATATTCTCCGATATATTAATATTCGTTCCTCGAGATTTTAGCCTCATGTCTACTTTATCCAGTTCTAACAACCAAATTGCAGGTACTACGCTGCTAAGATATAAAAATACAGATGGACAGAACCTGGAAATACAACAGTTGTAATATAGCAATTGTAATAAATAATAAATTCTTATACATTACATCTGTTTCAAGTTACATTAGCATTAAAAGTAGATCCTAAAAAACATTTGTATATTACAATATTATTCCATTTTACCATTGTGAAAAAATACTATCAGATTATTAAAAAAACTATTTGAGAACAAATAGTATACATAATATTTCATTAAAATTATTACGTCATGCATGACTTTCTCATAATATGACTTCTAACCGTTTTACTCGCAAGTTCGATAGTTTTTTCCATGAAGTGTTATCAGCATTTTTTTTACGTCGTGTTTTTGATTTTTAAATAAATTAATATTTCTTATATCATTGTTTATTTCCTTAATCTTGTAGTTTCATATAACTCACATTCTCTCTTTTATTGCATACTGCTTTTTAAATTAGAATTTTTTAGGATAAATGTACACATATAAATATTTATACGAAAGTTAATAACATATTAATAATTTTTTGTACTAAATATTTGTTAAAATCGACTCTTATTTGCCCTGTTCTATCGTTTTATTGTTTTTGATAAGAAACTTGTTCATCTCGTGACTCCAAAAAGGACAAATATAGCTATTGGACGTATATGGTTTTCGATGTTGGAAGAACTTCGTGAAACGATTTTTAGATCTAGTGCTGCTGAATAGTACGATGTTAATCTCCATTTGAGAAACAATATAATCATGCTACAATCATTAATACATAATCAGTTCTCTTCGCCGACGTTCTCTAATTTATTGAAATATGCTTGGTACAAATTGGATATTTAGAGGATCAATCTCCAGATTTTTAGAATCCTGCTGATCTGAATTTTTTTTACTGTATATTACCCGTTGTGTGTATTGTGTGAAGAGATTTCATTTATATTATGTGCATAGTGTACAAAAACTATGTGTTTTAAACATTTCTTCAGAATTCCATTATTGTAATGATTTTGTGTCATAAAAATAAATGAGTTGCTCATTATATTCAATTCGTTTCTTTTGGAGACCACTCAAGAACACTTTGATGATCTTATTTTTTTCATATAACCAATTTGGAGGTTTTTAATTTTTCTTAGGAAGCATTTCATGCGCGATACTCGTTAATACCTATTAAAAGTTCAGCGCCCCCTAGCTGCTAAAAAAAGCAGTTTGGGCAAAAGGTAAATGTACGTTACATTACAATTTTGACCCTTCTACACACCCACTAAGTTTCATCGAGATCAATTATTTGTACCTAAAAACGTTCCCTTGTTAGATAAAAACATTGTCAAAATTCGAAATACTATTGTTAATCAATAAAATAAAAGTTGTAAATAAAATTAATTAAAGTAAGTGTGTTAGTGTGTGAACACGGAAAGTGATTTATTCTCTCCAACCTGTCCTTAACGAACTTACAACTTTGTCCTGACACCCAAGGATACAACAACGGGTAGTTTGTCGTCCAGAGACGAAAAAAATTAAAAAGTAATGCTGATGCGTTAATCAAGTAGAAGCCAAGACTCTACTTCTCGCGCCCGCCACACCAACCATACGCGCCTAAATGTCCAGAATGCGACACATATGCTACCTTATGCAAGAAAGAATACTTTTCGGAATTGAATATTTCAACAAGATAATGATCCTAAACACCTCTTTAAATTTTCATATGAGAAAAAGTTAATTTTGTTAATTTGTAATACTTAATTTTAATATTCAAAGTTAGTTTACAATTAAGAAATAAGAATTAAGATCCGACTGTGTAAATGTACAATATACATACGTTAGAGAGCGCCAATAATCGGTCAAAGTTAGAGAGAGAGAGAACATTGCTGTTCTCTAACGTATGTTGATTTACAATATTTTTTGTTTATATATAGTTTATTTTATGTAATACGTAAATACGTAATATATGTAACATAGCAAATGATAAGGTAATTTTGAAAAATATTGTCATAAAACTTTTGAGCGTTAGTATATAATGTAAAGATGTTCTGCACTACATCTAATTCGATTGATTGATGAATCAGGTAAATAGAATCAGGTCACGGTTCACTTCTTCGCAGAAGTCAATAATTTTTGATATGCTTGCTCGTATACCGAACAAAGTAGATTCTAACTCAGCGGCTCATGTTACTAATGCTCTAATTTCCGTTTGTCAAAATGACAAATGGTTTTACAACGTATACACACTTTTCGAGAGATCTCTTTACATTAATTTTCACAATGAGAATACTGTCTCTAATCCAATTTTGTAATTATAATATTTTCTATACTAACTATAATAGGCATGAAATGCTGATTAGGTAATGGTACAGTAAGAGATAATAAAATGTAACTTTTATATTTTGCTTTTGCAGCTACTTTCGTGTGCATTCAATTATCTATTAACGTATCCCTCAAAACGATCATAAAATAAATAAAATTAATAACATTAAGTTATGCAGGGTATCCTCTAATTAATTACACAGCGCTTATGTACAAGTAGAGCGAACTAAACTGAGTCAAGAAGTCCTTTATTGTTTTGTAATTTTTACAATAGTTAATGAAATATTAATTTCTAAAAGCTGTTAATTAAGTTGGTAAAATTGAAGCATAAGAGAACTTTATTTTTCAGAGTTTTTTATGAAGCATTTTAAAGATGTTTCTCTTAAAGAACTTTTAAAGATACCTTAAAGTTGTCTTGTGCGTTGATTTCATACCCTTTGTTCATTGGATAACAAAAAATAATTGCGAAATTTGCAAAATAGTACAGGACTTTTTAACTCAGGTTAGTACACTTTATCCACATACAAACACTGTGTCAATATTTAGGGGATACTTTGTCTGCTTTACAATTATATATTTTACTTATTATATAAATTGTTTGACATAATAATAATAATAATGTTGTAATATATCATTTTTGTGCGAATGGCTTCTTGTCCTTTCATAAATAACAAATCTTATAATTCATAGAATAATTATGTTATGAAATAAATACTTCAGTTCTATAACTATAACTAAATAACAATAATTATAGTTTAACAAAGAATTGGATGTAGAAATACAAAAACCTTGTACAATATTTTGTTATAATATGAATAAAAAAGATTACATATTAATTCTAATATATAGTTTATATAATTGTTGAAATAATCCATAGTTGCAAATTATAAGTATCTAATTAATTCTGGAATTTTATAAATTAAAATTCTGTTAGTATAAAATCTATTTAAAATTATCTAAAGAAAAAATTATATTATCCATTTAGTTCTCTGTATGTATATTTATAAATAGAAATTAATTAGTTAAAAATCTGTACCTTAATTGTCTTCAATTTTTTTAAAAGTTAAAGAAAGTTATTAAACGATTTTTAATTTCATCATACTTTTCAATACATAATTAAAACTTCTTGAAAGTATAACAATATTTGCGACAACTCACATACCATTTCCATTCCTGATTTTCCTTTATAGTAAGCGTGAAAATACCCTCGACGAACAGCAACAAGATAGGACAGCTCAGGTACCAGAAATATGAATTTCTCTTGAAAGTCGTTACCTGCCAAATAGCGATGAAACCATGCGATGCAAACACCAAACGTGTAATTATTGCCTTTATGGTTGCCAAGAACTTTGCCATAGTCGGTAGTACTTTTTGAAATTCGTATATATTTCGAGAAGTAAATAAAGCAAAATTGTAATCTTTCACGTCACTCACGTTAACTGTACATACACATTTACAATTCCGCCAATAAAACCTGTTCCATATATTTTTAAAAACAAGTTGTAATTATGACGTTTGTCATTATGAGTAAAATTAAATGTACAAGAAAGTAATCAGGAAAGACATAGCGTCCAAAGCACGGTTCTCCAAAGACTAGTACAAACTTTCTACACTCGATGCGCACATGCGCCCATTGGATCTTCCAAACTGGAAGAGAGATGCGGCTTTCCTTTTTCACAGATCTTTTTCTGCAAGTAGGATTACATTAAAAAATTCTATATAAAGTTTTCTGAATAATGATTTGTTTCGTAAAAATTTTTGACGATACTAAATGCAATTATTAAATGTTATGCAATTTACATGCTAGTTATAATTTAAATACACATGTAATTCTAATTCGATCCTATTAAAATTATTATTTCTCTCATTATTGTTTGAAAAATATGTGCAATGATAAAAAAAATTATAATTTGATCAATAAATGTATCAATACTTAAAATATACATATCCTATAATAGACAACCATTCGTGAGGGCTTATATTGTCTTCATACGTGATTATCATACCTTGCGTGCAAAAATGCCATCACGTTATTCTCATATCGTGATGTAGGCACAAGTGTCAGCGTAAAAGATGTCACTGTACAATCACGCGTGATGGGGCATATTGTACGAGCGTAAAAGATCGTACTGTTAACAAATTTGTTTATAATAATTGTTTTTTTTTAGACATAATATAACAATTAAATTTATTTTTAAAGTTGCTCCCGAAGGATGTAATAAAGATGCACGTCAACATACTTTTTAAAATCAAATTAGTTATCATTTTATTTTAAAATAATTAAATGTTAATATGGCTCAATTAGAATAAATCAATAAATAAAAGAAGGGCAACGAGCCAATTATAATATAAGATTTTTAATAAACGTATATATACAATATTCAATCGTTTCGACACCGATCGGGTCATTTTCAATGTAAAATAACAAACACTCTTAATGTAAGAGTGTTTGTTATTTTACATTGAAAATGACCCGATCGGTGTCGAAACGATTGAATATTGTATATATACGTTTATTAAAGATCTTATATTATAATTGGCTCATTGCCCTTCTTTTATTTATTGATTTTATTTTAAATTTATAATAAAAAAATAACTAATTTGGTTATTATTTTAGAATAATTGCCATTAATAACAACGATTTACGTTATTAACATAATTTCAGATTCTATGGTCAATTTGCTCAAGTCAATTTGCCATTTTTTGAGGAGAAGTGAATAACTTAATTGAAAAATCAATTTGAGGGTTTTATTATACATATTTTCTAGTGTAGAAAATAACTTTTTTCATTTCGCTTGAACGACGGCTTCCTGATCCAATTATGGGAATACTTTTTCGGGCCCAAGCAGTGTACACGATTTTAACAAAAATACAACTTATGCAAAAGGAAAAAAAGCAGCATTATTTACACTATTATGGTTATCGTCTGACGTAGGGATTTTTTTAAATATTGATTTCTTTTGAAATGGTGATAGTTTAAAAAAAGTTACAATTTTTTCGAAAAAAAATCGTCTTTAATTGTGGATTAAAAAACAATTACATAATATTTTGCAAAAATCCTACGTCAACCGATAGAGAATATTACTAAAAATATTCCGTTAAAATTTAAAGTCAATTGGATGAAAACTTTTGAGTTATCGTGTACATCGTCTCGGAAAATGCAGTTTTGAGAAAAACGCGTTTAAAATGGTACGTGTACTTTCTTGATATTTACTAATGGCGTCGCTCTCACACTGAAACCGACGTTGAAATTATTGAAATTGAATTTAGTACAAATTGTGATATCTATAGATAACATCCAGATATCACATTTTGATGGATACATAGTTCTGTATATCTGAAGGGCCCGGACGGATTACAAATGAGGCGGAGTCGCTTCGACCTGCTGCAGCTGAAATTCACTTTCTCGACCACTTTGACTTTGAATTTCGCTTCCGAATCTTTTTTCTCGTCTTCTTAAGGATTCAAACTAATGATTAAAGCAACAAAAAAAATTTCGATTTTTTGAAACCTCAGGGGTGGGGGTCCCTCTTAAGTATATTGAAAGCATTTGAAAAATGTGTATATTTATTACAATTTTTAAACGTATACTGTTATACGGTATAATAATCGTTCATTATTTTTACCTGCACCAAATCTGAATTTTTTTATACATATCATTGAGTGTTTATTATGTAAATTAGGTTTATTAAAACGTTTAAAAGATGTATATTTATTAAATGTATATTATACGTATATCATATTATATATTCTATATTTATACTATATTCTAATTATCTTTATACGTTTATAAAAGTAAGTATATTTATAATTATTAAACGTTGAAAACGTATCTTTATTTATATCTGAATATGAGTTAAACAAAAATAATGAAATATATTCATTAGGTAGTATAACATTTTAGTCGTAAAAGCATATATGTAAAATATTTGTACAAAATTTATTGACATTTTAAAAACGTACATTAAGCCGTTTGTACAATACCGTATTTTCTAAACATTTATAAATCAAATTTCATTCATAAATTACATACATTTTAAATAAATGTTTATCCGATTATATAAATAAACGTAGATGTATTTTAAAAATTAAATCTTTTTCTCCGTACACTATTTTTCAGCGTATAAAATCCGTTTTGTATTACGCAAACGTAATAAAAACGTATATAATTATCGTATAAAAATGGTAAAAATTTAAATTATTTGATTTACGATTATTATATTTATACCATTTTAATTCCTACCTTACGTTTAATGAACGTTTAATATATCATCATGTGTTTATTGGGCAAGGACAAATGATACATTATGCGTTTCATGTGTAACTCGGAACGCACCCCTTGTCTTCTTTCATCATCGATCAATAAAACAAGTCAAATGAAAATCGTGTAAGAGAATTATGCGATTCGAAATCACGTTATATCGCCTGCGATTCCTGAGAATCATATTTCATAACCAATAAAATAGCAATTAATGTTAGTATATCTTGGAAACGTGTTTTATATAAAGTGTACATAAATCATAAATACTATGGAAGAAAGAATGGAAAATATAGATGAAAGACCAACAGAAAAGTTAGTACTTCATTTCACATTGAATTTAAATTTTTTACAGAACCGCATTATAGATAAGATATAGGTAAACTTATATTATGATGAAATTTTGTAATAATGCTTATAACACAGTAGAATAAAGAATAATTTTTTGAGTCTTACAAAAAGGAGCAATCCTTCTCCAAAAATTTTTTGTCATATTAAACTTTAATCTGACTTTTTAAATGCTATATAATTATATTGAGAAATTTGTGGTTAAAGTTGTAAAAAAAGTTACTTTAATTATAATTTTACCAATATTTTTTAATTAATTATTGATTGCGACGTATTATTTATTAAAAATGTTAATTTATTCCAAATTAAAATATTTTCTTGAAACTATTGTTAAGATTAAGATCATGTTTACATATTTATATTTCATTTACATATTTATATGTCAGAAAAATTGTAAATTGAACTATTAGTGATTATAATATTAAGAGACTATTTAATTGTTTAACGAACCTTAAAAACTTTTCACATTATTAAACTTAAATGAGTATCAAGCTTAACAGTTTTCGAAGTGTATAATCGCAAATAAATAGTAAAAATTATAAAATTTTTGTCGATATTTATCATTTGAAGGTTTCATAAAGTGAAAGTATGGAATTAATATTACTCAACATATACAATATTAATTTAATGTCATTTATCTGTGGGTTTACGTAATATCTCCATGTACCTTTTGTAACATAAAATTCATGTTTTTAAACGAAATCAATATTTTTAATGTATTATTATATAATATGTATTATTATAATATAATTTGTTCTTGCCTTCGCTGAATCGAAGTGTAGGAAATATATTAAAGAATCATATTTAGGAGTCACTTGAGCGTCTACTAATCAGTTTCCGCTGCTAAATGCAGCCATTGAAGGCAGTAACTTAGCGATTATTCAGCGATTCTTTATTACAATTAGTGCTACACTTGAATCCAGCGAAGAGCTAAAGGCAAGAACCATATTAATAGAACCATAAGTCATATTAAAAAAATCATTCAGCGCTCACTCAGTTGCTGAACGCTGTCATTACTTAAATACATTCAGGTATACTGACAGTATTCTACTTTTTATCGGGGGACATTGTAGTGTCTCGCTCTAGTTAATATATTACAAGAAATTAATATTTGAATTATATTTTATATTGATATTTTATTTTGGAAATCGTCAAATAATAATCCATCCTGTATAGGTGTAATACCATAAAAATTACGTAAAAAAATAACATTTTCTAATTTTTATTCTAAATTTTTCATAAAATTTTGACGCATTATAATATTTTTCAGATTAAAATTACATTCAACGTAAAGATACCATGAACAAAATTGATTATTTTTTACTTTACAGCTTTTTATTGAATTGTGTTATCTTTTACAATAAACTATATTTACATTTAAATAATTCAAAAAAGGATGTTGAAAAAGAGTCCTTTTTGCTCATTTTGTCAACAAAGTGTAAGTAAAAAGAATAGTGTTTTCTGTAGTCAAAAATTTGCCCTTTTTAGAAGATGTTAAAAAAAATTCGATATTTGCTAAAAAACATAAATAAAAAATAATATTTTTTGTAGATTTTGACCTCCTGAATACAATAAAGTTTTAAAAAGTTTGTAACATTTAAGAAACACCTCTAAAATTAATTAAGAATATATAAATTTAGATACAACACATATCCATGTTCATGATCAATTTTCGAAATGTTCCCAAAATGCTATAAACATTTTAATAGTTTTATTATATTCAGTAGTTCAAAATCTCTATAATAACACTATTTCTCTTACACTTTTTTTGGCAAAGATCGGTCCCTTTTTAAGAATCATCTTTGTAAGCGCAACACTTATGCAATGAAAGGATTTAATAACCAGTTTTGCGATTAGGTCTGAAAGGAGAGAAGAACCTGTAAATTATTTAAGGAATCTAATTAACTGCTTAAGAAATACGAATCGCTTCTTCAAGATCTATTGGAAGATTATTTTTGCACTTCTATGGGCGCTTTTTCTTTTACCTTTTCCCTTGATTTACGATTACTCGGTATTCTTTTCCTATTTTTCTATATATTGTATATTGTCATTTTTTAAACATTAATAATTTAAATTTTTTAGGATTTTTTTAGGATAAGTAACTTAATAATTTTTGCAGGAAGTTAGATGTGCATATGTAGTATTACTGATGGGTGGTTATTGGGTTACCGACTGCTTTCCTATGGCAGTAACATCACTCATTCCAGTTGTCATGTTCCCAGCTTTGGGCATACTCAGCACGGCGGATACATGCGCCTGTTACATGAACGATACAATAATGGTCTTCATCGGCGGTTTAATTCTTGCTATCGCCATTGAGCACAGCAATCTCCATCTTAGGATTGCTCTCGGAGTCATGAAAACGGTTGGTTGCAGCCATGCAAAATTGCTCGGTGGTTTATGCGTGGTCACAACTTTTATATCCATGTGGGTATCAAACACCGCAGCCACCGCTATGATGGTGCCCATAATATTTGCCGTTTTGCGGGAGTTGGAACAAGTATTAAATGACTTCTTCTTTTAATATTTAATAATAGTATGTATGAAGTTCTATATAAGTAAATCTACATACGTATGCAATCACACGCGCACACGAGAGTACGTGCACTTGTACAATACGATCTATACTATCTACGGAATGGATAACTCCTACAGCACGAAATATGGGGCAGCAATATTCTAATAGTGCACAGTATTACAAAAACTGCAGCAATATTGAAATGTAAATATTATATTGGAAATATTGCAGCAATATTGTGAGATATTGTAGTTTTAATATTTTGTAAGAAATACTGTAATATACCGCTTTAACATTATAATTCAAGAGGTAAGTACGCGTCACGTATTTCGCATACTCCGTCACGAGATGGACGCGCTTCTCATAAGAACAAAACGTCCAGGAAATCTATAAAAAGGCGTATGCAAAACGAGTTGGTGAGTCTCACGGAGATTCTCAACCATTTTTGGGTGTGCTTTCTAAATCCCCGAATGTTTTTTTGATCATAATTTTATCTCGTGTATTTTAGAATATGATGCTAAACAATAATATGTTAGCAATTAATAAAACTGGATTAAATATTTAAATATTGCATAATGTTGCAACAATATATCTAGAATATTTCTCTGAATATTGCAGCAATATTAAAGAGTATTGCAACAATATCTTATTTTTACGGATGTAAGGACGTTGCTACAATATTGTAGAAATGTTTTATAAAATATTACAACCTTTCAAAGCAATATTGCCGTTTCGTGCTATAGGGGAAGTATATGTGCACATACATACATGAAGGTCTCCTTATTTCAACCCAAGTAATGGCACTTATTTTTAAATTCTGTCAAAAATTATTACTCCTCAAAAAAAACTATTGTACACAAAACTAAAAATGAAAACCTGAATGCTATAGTCTTAACTAATCAAGTTAAATTATATCAAATTAAAGAATAAAATCCAAGTGTGGGGTACTATCTTTGTTATTTACTTAACTCTAATGATATGTATCATTCATATAAAAGATTTAATATCAACAACTAGCGCTAAGTTAAATTCCACAAAATTTTATGTAACATTCTTATAAGAGATTTGATATCAACAATTGGCGTCAAGTTAAATTCTCTATACCAAATTAAATAAAGAACATAATACGAGTGGTACTATTTTTAATTTCTATACAGTGAAACCCAAATAAGTATAATATACAGGGTGGCTCATCGAAAACGAAACAGACTGAATAACTCCTACAAAAATTATTTTTCGAAAAAACGTAAAGAAGGTCAATTTATGTTAGGAGGGGGGCATGTTTTGTGATGTATAATTCTAACCCTCAACTTGTTTTTTTTCTAGATAGCACCAAAAAGATTCGAAGGTTATTCTATTTTTTTTTTAATGGAATTATATGATTCTTTTACTTAATCTGATTCCTCTAATTATTCCACATATAAAATTATTAAAGCAGAGATGTTAAAAAATCAATAGTTTGTGAATAGAACAATGAGATGAATTAGGTTGTGTAAAGAAAATACATAGCTACTTATTTAAATAATTAGCCATTTTGCTTACATATTTAAAGCAATTACATGTCTTCTTTACATCAATTGATTCATTTCATTATTCTATTTATAAAAGTATTATGGTACAAATAAAGAATTATCAAAAAATTAATAATTTACAAGATATTCAATATTTTGTGTCAATGTGTGCCAGAATAAAGTATAAAATATCTCATAAATTACATTGATTTTTTTATATTTCTTCCTTAACATTTTTATACGTAGAATAATTAGAAGAATTATTTTAAGTAAAGTAAATCCTATAATTCCATTTAAAAAGAAATGGAGTGACTTTCGTGTTTTTTTGATGACTCCATCACAAAAAGATAACATGACTAAAATACAAAATTGTTCCACTTTTTTTGTCAGAAATGTTTTTTCATATTTTTCATATTTTTTTAAATATTTGTCTGTTATAAGTTATAATTAAAACGAACCACTCTTATGTATAATTTGTGTTCATGTTTATATATATATATATATATTTATATTATTGGATCTTTATAGGCTGGTTTGGGCGCTTTGTTCAAAACAGAAGTTGATTTAGACAGACCAGACATACCGCCGTAAGTAAAATAATTCTTTTTCAATTAAAAATATTTGAAAATAGTATCGTTAATAGGGAGCATATAATTATGCAGTACAGAGGAACCAGCCCCGATGATCTTGAGCTTGACTACATTGTCAATGTGTCCCTGAGTAATCCCCGATAGGTTTTTAGCCGTTGCTCGTTATTTATTAAAAAGTTATTAACAAAACAATTTTTATAAATAGAGTGTAATTTTTGAACATAAGGTATATATTTTACTATAAATCCTACATATACTCTATTATATCATTTACATAACGTCATTTCTGTAAAACGGGATAAGGCAGATATTTCACGCGAAGCGAGATCCATCTTTACTTAGGAGCGTTCGACTTTTCACGCAAAGCAAGGTTTATTCCACATTGCCCTCTGCCTAAGGGCATTCGACTTCACATCCCCCCTCACACTCCCCACCTAGAAAATCGGATGCTCCTAGACAGGGGAGAGGTGAGGTGGACTTCGCTTCGCGAGGAAAGTCGGACGGTCCTTGGCAGGAAGGATGTAGTGTGGGCCTCGCTTCGCGTGGAATGTTTTTACACAAGTAGGAGAGAGTGCGGAATAGTCTTTAATATTATAATATATATAAAAAATAAGACGTTATCTTTTAAAAAACGACTAAAATCTTTTAACCGTTGTTTAGGATCATGACCTTAACGGTATATGTCATCGGGGCTGGTTCCTCAGTACTGCATGATTACCAGGAAGCGTCACATTTGATCACATGGCGATTGACCACAGTCACTTATAGCGACTAGTGCCTTGAATTTTTCCAATGGGCGTTATGAATGGCTTGTGATCAATCGCAATGTGGTCAAACGACTGTCACCTGTTAGATAACACTAATTTACAAAAATTGTTTTTTTAATTATTTTATACCGGACTACGTGTCTCTTATAGATTTTTGAATACGGAAAACGATGTTGCAAGCGAAAAAATTCTAACATGTCAGATTTCCAAGATAATTGAGACTTAAAAAACGGCTTTTTTGGCAATATTTGACATTTTTTTAATAAAAAAAGTTATTTTTATGACGTAGTTTTTACAATACGTTGTTTTTACTAACGTGTCGAGACATAGGATAGGGCGGATGGGAAGTAAAGAAAGAACGTACATAATGATGCGAACGAAAAATTTTTTATTCACATTTTATTATATTGGTATTTTTTCTCATTTATTACATTTTTTTTCATACGTATTAAAAACTAAAGCTAATAGCTCACAATCAACGAGCTGATGCCTGTTGAAGATGTTACTATCACGTATAGCGTTCTCGGACGAGATATCGGAGAATCGCGTATACTTGATATCGATCGTATCGACGAGTCTGGCTAATCGTTCGAACGTTACATCGATGCACCCGTCAAACTCAAACATACGATATAGTGTCGTTTCGGTCATCGTCATACGTACGGATGAAGAATCGAGATGTACGAGCGTAACGTCGTTCAGCGTGCAAACTCTAATCATTAGCGATCCAACACTTATAAAGTTGTATTCATTTCAAAGCATTTTGTAAATATTCCATCGCTGCTCGTAGAAGCCTTTCCACGTTTCGAGAGACAGCGACAGTTCGTGTTTAACAATTGTTAACAAAAAAATTAAAAACAATTTTTTTTTCTTCACAACATTGAAGTACTCTTGAAACCGTACAACTTTTGTTTAAAAAAATTTTTTCTTTCTTTTATACTTTCGACGGTATTCGGCTCGAAATAGAAATACCGTTTTTTTTTTCAAAGGGGTGTTTCACCCCTTCAACATGAGTTAGCACACGTATAAAAAAATACGTGTCTCTCTTAGATTTTGTGTTTAACAACATATTGGAGAATCAAATCGGTTCTGGACAGTTGTGAAACTTTCCTTGTAAGTGATTAAAATAAAAAAAAACACTATTTCTTTTACTAACACCTTTTTGGGAAAAAATCGGACTTTTTATAACATCTTCTTTTTTATAATATATAAAAATGTGTTTTATAAACACATTAAATGAATTACACAGACATGAATTTTGATCCAGAAACGGCAACATGTAATCCCGAAGCAATTTGGGCTATGGATTTGATTTTAGTATGCCAAAAACTTTCATTACATACTAGATTACATACTGTTATTTCTGGGTCAAAAAAAGAAATTTTTTCGTAGGCTTGTGTTATTCATACTAAAAATGTAAAGATTTATTTTATAAGAAATATAATTTTCTGCAATATAAAAAAATAGCAAGTTTTTACAAATAATATTCTTCTAAAAGAAGACATTTCTAAAAGAAGACTTAGATATTTTATAATACATAGCTGTCCTTCTTTAGTGAGATAAGACCAACGAAACTAACAAAAGCGTATTTATTGGCGGCGGCTTATTGTTCGACGTTTGGCGGTACAGGAACATTAGTAGGAACTGGCACAAATCTAACTTTCAAAGGAATCTATGAAAGTACGTTTCCAGAGGCTGAAGGAATTAGTTTTACAGATTGGATGGTAGCATCTTTTCCTCAGATGGTTGTAAATTCTTTCCTCACCTGGTTGTATGTACGAATCGCTTTTTTGGGATATTTAAGACCACACAGTAAGGACGCTCAAGTTTCGGAAGAGAAGGTGAAACTGTCACAAATCAAGTAAGAACATAAGTATATACAAAAAAAACAAAAATGGTGTTCCTTAAATTCTAATATACATATTTTGAATTATATAAATCATATTCTTGAAAATGATGTATAATAGGGCCTTTTCCGAATTTCGATATTTTTCAGCTGCAATGTTGATAACAATGTTTGTTATAACTCAGATAGTAATAATAAACTGGGGGAAGTCGAAAAATATATAATCTTTCCCTCCCCCCCCATGCGTATACTTTACAACGCAAAGCAAGAGCCACCCAATACTAAAATATGGTTGGGTTAGGTCATATTTTTAGAGGGCAATACATTTTACAACGCGAAGCGACTTCCACCCCATCTCTCCCCCTGCTTAAGGGCGTACAACTTTCCACGCGAAACGAAGTCCATCCCACTTCCCCTCTTGCCTTGTAGATCTCGTTTTGCGTGGAAATCGTGCGCCCCTAAACAGGGCGGGAGATGGGGTGGAAATCGCTCCGCGTGGAAAGTCGAACACATGTAATAAATTGCTTTAGAAGTTATATTAGAAATAAATGTTAAATTAAAAAAATAGGTAAATTATATGTATTTTTGGCTTCCCCCAGTTTATTATCGCTATCTGAGTAATAACAAAGATTGTTATCAACATTGTAGCCAAAGGATGTCGGAAAAATTCGGAAAAGACCCTATTCTATATAATTATAGTATTCTTTTATTTTTATTATTAAAAGATGACAGACTGAAAACAACGCATATTTAAAAAAATACTTGCTAAATAAGCTACATATACTTATTTTCAATTTTTGTCTCTAATAATTTGTTACTTGTTGCCGAATTAGTCTATATTTTCAACTTCTTCACCTGCTTTTATGAAAAATTTGATGTCTTTGAGGAAGGACATTTATACAAAAATCAATAACCAGTAGTCTTTAAGAAAAAAATTTGAAATTATATATTTTTATGTTTTATGTTTAATATTATTTCAAGAATCTGCAATTAGCATGTGGTGCGTTAGGTGTCAAACACCCTGTATAAATAATATAATTATATATGAAAAATTTTTTCCCATATGGTGTAAAAATTATTTCATTTTTTATTTAAAACTCATTTAAGTGAGAATGATTATTTAATACATTTTACAGTTAAATAATAAGTACTTTGTTAATTTATTTTGAAATATCACATTCTTTAATTTAATAAATAATACTTTTTTAATCAAATGTGTTTGACGAAGAAATGTGTTTAATCAAATGTGTTATTATGTAAAATAAAAATTATATAAAATAAAAGTTTCAACAATTCATCAATGATTCATGATTAACCGATTACAAGAAAATTGTGACGCCTATTAAGCCTTTCTGTATAATAAAACGAAATACCGAACTGATGAAATACAACAATGAATTCTTCTTTAACAAATGGTAATCTTTCTAGGTTATACAACAGAGATACAAGAATTTGGGTCCCATAACTTTTCATGAAATTGGAGTAGCCACTTTATTCTTCACATGCGTGTTTCTTTGGATATTTCGCAAACCTGGTTTCATCCGTGGATGGTCGGAAGTGATTACTGATATGTTAATATTTTAAAATTATAAATTATATTGTTGTGTGTACATGAGAGCCATGCAAGTATTCTAACAATTAATAAACGTGCAGAGATGTTAGAGATTCAGTGCCCGTGATATTCGTCTCCATCCTGATGTTTTTCATCCCAAAGGATCCTAGCTTCATCTATAGTTATAGTCAAGATCGTAAGGAACCATAAAAATTTTGAAACCTTAAAACGCTGATAATAATAATTTTAAGAATTATCAGGTCATAATTACTAAAATAGAAAATTATTTGTTTTAATGAAATAAACTCAAAAGAACATTTGAGTAATAAAGATAAAAGCTTTATTAAAATTTTTTATTTTCATTTTATTTACATATCTCTTCATAGAGCATAAAAGCTAAGTATTGCAATGTAATGATTGCAGAGACGTTGCAAAGATTTTTTTGCAATATTACTTTAGTAATGTTGCACTAATATTTCAAATATGTTATGAAAAGTAACGTTCTATCACTCATCCGCAAACAATACGCAGCATCACTACCCAAATACCCGGGAGAGTTTTAGTTCTCATAAATAAAAAAATTATACAGGATAGAATAAAAGACACAGGTTATAATGAGATTTTTCACTTACATTCTAATAAAATAATTCCTTAATAGAATCAAAATTAAGGGATAAAAGTAAATGGAATATATTTTAACAGTACAATCTGTAGTTCTTTTATGTAAAAATGAATTTAAAGATATATGATAATCTCGGAAGTTAAATATTAATGGCAAAATGTCTTAATATAAAATGACACTTAAAAATTGTCAGAATCAAAACATATAACGTCGTGATATAGCTAGAATATTTTGTTTTTATTGTTTTTATTATTCGATTTAGCAGCGCGCCAAGTGTTTACTTCTTTAATTTCTTTAACTTTTACTTAATTTGGTATGGGATTTGGCACCAGTTGTTGATATCAAATCTTTTTTACGAATGATACATAAAATTTTGTGGAATTTAACTTAGCGCCAGTTTTGTTGATATCAAATCTTTTATACGAATGATGCATATCATTAGATTTAAGTAACAAAGATAACAAAGATAATATCACTTTGGTTTTACTTTTTAATTTGATAGAATTTAATTTGATTAGTTAAGTCTAGCATTTGAGTTTTAAAGCATTTGGAATTCAAAATAGCAGATTCAATATGTCGGATTCCTGCGGTGAATCCAAACTATCTTATCCCGCTTTTTGTCGAACCCAGGAATAACCGACGAGGAGGTGACGAAAGTATTTCCATTTTGTTTTTTATTATTTCTTTATAGTTTTTATAATATTTTTATATTTTTTAACTAGTGACGAATAAATTGCTTTTCATTATCATTATCCTAACTTACAATTAGTTAACAATTACCAGCGTGTAATTTCGTTTCCATCTTCTTTTGTTAAATATTAAATTATAAACAAATAGAGATCGAGATCAAATAAATCGTTTTTTCATTATCATTTTCTAAGTTAAAATTAGTTAACAATTGCCAGCGTGTAATTTCGTTTCCATTCGATTTCCTTTTGTTAAATATTATTGTATTTATAAATAGGGATCGGTGACGAATAAATAGCTTTTCATTATCATTTCCTAGCTGTTATTAACAAAAATTGTTAACAAATACGTATAATTTCGTTTACCATGCACCGCTAGCGTTTCTTGCTCTTGCATCAATATGCTAACGCACTTTCGCTTCAAAACGTCCAACAGTACATTCTGATTGGACGCATTCTGACTAGCGCACTCTCGCGCCGAAACGTGCAACAGTACATCTAGCTGATCGACTATAACGAACATGACAATATTAATAACGATGACGTATCTTAAAAGTTTCACATCGGGACTTTGCGTTGCAATATCTCCGCTCGTAGGACACGTAGGATAAAAATAAAAACACTTTTATTACTCAATTTAAGTGGACGCTATCGATTGAGCGTATGTAGAACTTGATGGGTTAAGCCGTTATTGAGATCCAATAATTTCAATCACCCGCAACTCGCGATCTCGCGTAAAGGAACCACGATAGTATCGTTGCGCTTGGCTTAGCGCCGAGACACTACCATGTCTCCTGATATTTCAACAATCTGCAACTTCACAACGTTTTTACAATGTTGCAATCTTACAATGAAATATTTCTGCAATGTCTCTGCAAACTGTCTGTACCATATACATAGATCAAATTATATAAACTCACATAATTTTTCTTCAGACTTTATTTGCACTTGCATCTATCATTATGTACAAAATTATAAAATTCGTAGCCGCTAAAAGGCCAAAAAGATCTTCAGAAGGTTTAATTACATGGAAGGTAATCGAAACTAAGATGCCATGGAGTCTAATGTTCCTATTGGGTGGCGGTTTCGCAATCTCAAGAGGAAGTGTAGCATCGGGTATGGCAAAACGAGTCGGTGAAGCTCTAGTACCACTTCGTTATTTACCACCCATTGTAATACTTGCTGTTGTGTGCTTCTTCGAAGGCCTTATAACGGAGTTTACCTCAAATGTGGGAGTGGCGAATATCACTCTACCAGTGATAGCGCAGATGGTAAATTATATTTGCATATTTAAAAAAAATATGATATGCTTTATATCTAATAAACATACTTAAATAATTTAAAAACAATAAGCTTTTTTTCAATTAATTTCAAATATAAATTGTTTAAGTAAAAATAGTAACCAAATGTAAACCAACACAGGATGGTAATGTGTAAAACTTATGTGTATTACACAGGTCCATAAAAAAAGTATCCTGTACTCCTTTGTTAAAGCACATAAGGATAAACTAGCAAAATTCTCCGTTCAAAATGTAGTATACAAAATAAACTGTAACAACTGCAAAACCTACGTTGGGCAGACGAAGAGACAATTTAAAACTCGCATTAGAGCACATAATAGCAATATTGACAATAAATGTAGCTTTTAAAAGAAACTTGTAACGACTTTCCAATTTAACGCAGGAATTGTGACTCTTTTACAATCTAAAGATCATGATTAGTGACAAATAGAAACTCGTGCAAAAAAATTGTAATAACCTTGGATTTATAGTGGACATCGTCGAAGTTGGACAACGAAGAAAGATAATGATTAAATTCTCTTAAGAAAACCAGGTTCTTATGGCAAATTAGTTTGTAAGCGAGAATTAAGGAAATTTGAAACTTATACATACTGAAGATGACCTAATTGAAGATTAAAACGTTTTATGTTTTGTAATCAATTATGATTAAAGTAGTTACTTAAAAAGATTTTATCACACTAAGAACCAGTGTAGGCTTTAATGCTCCTTTTTTAACCAGTTTGAAATATTTATGTTCTTCGTAGTAGTACCACGTGCTACGAAGATGACGATATACATAGGATAATGCTGAATTGTGCTAAATCACGCTGAATTGCGCTGAATTTTTGGTTAGTTTTGCTACAGCCGCTCTGATCACAGTGATCACAGTAACGGAAATACAATAGGTACTTTAACTTGAACGGGATTGATGCCCGCCCAAAAACATGGCTGCAAGTAAATTTGCGCGACTGAATCGAAAACGGGATCTTGATCCTATTGTATATCCTTATACTATGCCTGAACGTATGCTTGCATCGCAGTGTTTCGCGGCTGTGACTGATTTGTTAACCTCAATAGTCGTCAACTTTAACGCTTAAAATCTCGGTTCGTGGGGCAGAGCGACGCTTTTTTCTTGTCGAACCTTTATTTTTACGCGAATGCATTGAGTGTATTTTTATCAAAATTTGAGGTGACCGGGGTATTGTAAACCTTTACTCGAAACTGATTACGCGATAGCATTGCGCGTGGTGTCTGGGAATATTTCAAGATTTTACTTTTTTGTTTTTCTTAAAAATAAAATAATGTAAACTGATAATGTTAATTATAATAGTATTGTCATTTGTCATGTATAATTGGAAGCGTAGCTTCTTAAAATTACGTTACAGGTTTCTTATAAAAGTTTTTTCTTTTGATGAGATTTACTTTTCTCTAAAATTTTTTCCTAAGGTCTTGAAACTCCTTATATATTTATATACCTTACGTTTTATATTTTTATTAATATAATTTTGATAAGTATTTCCGAAAAACGTAAATTAATTTTTATTTACCTGTTTTTCAGTGCGTAGCAATGGAAATACATCCTATGTACTTAATGATACCAGCTACCCTGATGTGTTCATTTTCATTTCGCTTACCGGTTGGCACACCACCCAACGCAATTGTAACAATCGCAGGACATATCCCTACAAGTTGGTTGATTGCTGGAGGCTGTGCACCCGCGATTTACAGTTTGATAGTAGAAGTCATTTTCTTCCCTACATGGGGTGTTTTCGTTTACGGAATTAAAGATTTTCCTGCTTGGGCCAGATATGTCCAAATGGAAAATAACACAGATGTGCTTCGTTAATTAATTGAAAGCAATAATTTAAATTATGGAGCAAATTACATTCCAGCTTTATGTATTTAGTTTTTTTACAAAATTTGACTGACTATTAAACTCGAATATGAAAAATTAACATTTTGAGTGTTTTATTCTTAAACAATATTGTTTTTAAATTTTCTCATGCATTACGTTACTTTGGGGGAGTATATTAATGTACTAGGGAGTATACTATTGTACTTTACAAATATACAAACGAGGATAAAATTCTAAAGAACAGTATGATATTCTTCCGAGATAAAATTTAATACGGTTTAAACAAAATAAATGTATAAAGTAAACTTTTATGTCTAATTACGTATTATTTTCCATAAACATAAAATAGATTTTGGTAATATTCCAGATTAGGGGATGAATGTTGCTCAGAGTCACGACCTTGATATCATATGTCAAAGTCAAGGCAATTATAGGAGGTTATTCCTCTTATTTTCATTTTTATGCAAAAAATGAAAATGAGAAAAATAACCTCCAATAGCCAAGGTCATGACTCTGAGCAACTTTCAAAAGGTTTTAGCCGTCAGTCGGATATTTTCGATAATAGGGAGTTTTTGCAATACCATTTATCCAGATACGGTGAACGTTAAGGTCAGATTATCTTCTTCTTAACAATTAATTAACCCTTTGTTGCACGGTGTTGTATATATGCAACATCTTTTTCTCTTTCGTTTTTTGGTTTTCAAACTCCACTCTTAAGGTTTTTGCACATGCAATAAATTGTTATATGATTCTCAGATACTACTTTAATAACAAGTCACGTACAGAAGCTTTTATTTTGCAACTTCAATTAGTTATAAACAAATTGAGCGCAAAAAACCCTACTTTTTTAAGAAAAAAGTTGTTCCTTGAAAAATTTTGATTAATAACCTATGCCAAAAAGTATGTATACATGTATATATTTTGAGAGTCGCTGATTACGAAAATGAAGTCAGATTTTCAAAATTCAGGACGACGGATCCAACATGGCGGACCAAAAATAAAAAAAAATGTTTTATTTACCTTGAGAATTGATGTATTGGGGTTTTTGAGGTCGATGATTACAATTTTCAAATGAAATTCCCGGAATAAGTTACCCACTCGGCATGTAACGTTATTGAAATGTTGCAAGCTTCGGTTATAGTACAGAAATGTTTCAACAATATTTCAATTGCAATATTGCAACGTTGCAGCAACGTTGTTGCAACGTCCGTGAACCATTTCAGCAACATTACTGAAATGGTGTAACATTGCATTTGAAACGTTTCAGCAACGTTGCTGAAATGTAACATGCCGAATGGGTTAGCAGATCCAATATAGTGCACTAAAATATCAAAGTGCTTTATTTACCGTAAAAATTGATATTTAGGTCGGTTTATCATTGACCAAGCGTGAAATTATATTTTCAAAGTTCAAGTTAACATATCTGATATATGGTGGGCCACTAATTCTAAAAATGATTTATTCATTTCCAAAAATTGGTGCAGAAGATTTTCTGAACGATAATTACTGTATTGAAGACAGATTTGAAATCAGTAATTACGACTCATTGAATATCAATACCAATACCGTATACCATTTTTTAAGGCAAATAAGGTATTTTTTTTAATTTTGGTCCGCCGTATTGGATCCGCCATATTGAATTTTGCTAAACTGACTCCAGATTCGTGACCAGGTACGGCCACGTTTAAATTCAGTTGCCCAAAATTTCACGGTGGTAAATGATGGTGCAGAGTCCCCGCACACAGCGTCCAACTCGTCTTTAATTTGCGTAGGCTTATTACCTTTCAAAAACAAATATTTAATGACAGCTCGATACTCGATTTTTTCCGTTTTCACAAAAACACTCACATCGACTCACTCAAACGATTGTCAAACAACAATTGAGCGTCTAAAATGGCTGAAATTTTGTTGAGTACCTCTCAAAGCATGCGCAAACACATTCCCCAACTTTTGTTGATGAGTGCTGCCATTTTCATGTTGAGGTCGGAAACTTTTCAGACAACCCTCGTATATAAAGATATGTCGATGCGCTGGAAAAACAGCGACCTCTGGTTTCGTCGAAGTTCGAGCTTCGATTTAGGATCCCCTTAATTCAAAAAGATTGATTATCGTCAAAATTTTTTTCAATGTTTCTCTTATACTAAGTGTCGAAATTTCAATAAATTGCTTCGAAAATTTTTCGTGTAAAACTATTGAGAATTTTATACATAGAGGAAGGTTACCGACATACTACTTTGTTTTTAGACAATATTTCTTAAACAAAAGGTAAAAATACAAATTCAAAAACATGAATACAAATTAAAAAGTGTCTTCTATCAGTTAGTATAAGCAGTTTTTATAATACTGTTTGCAATTTTGCAATAATTAAGTTATGGAAAAATGAGCGTCTGACAAAATGGGCTCCAAAATTGACATAGTAGGCAATAATGTCAATATCCAGAATTTCACTCTTTATTTCTGGAGTGAGATTTGCTCCAGAGGAAAGTAATCTCATTTTTTTGGAGTGACTTTCACTCTAAAATATAAAATCTCACTCTAAAAAAAGGTGAAATTCTGTCACTCTTACTCAACAGTGCAAATTGTTCAACCTTTTCTAATAATAGCAGCATTTTAACTTCTTTGGTGTGAGATTCAACTCCAAAAAATTTTGAGAGTAACGTCGTTACTTTCTAAAAAGGATATGTAACTATAAGTTGCGAATTGCTTAATTCTTTTAAAAAGTATTTTATAACTTACATCAAAATAATGCTAAAGTAGAGTATATGAAATAGCTTATGAACTTTTAATTTTTATTACTCTACTTTCATATAAAGAATAATTAGAAAAATCTTATTATGTAAAAAATTTTATAGTTTTATTTTAAAAAATGACAGTGTCCTCTTTGTAACTTTCTAAAACCATTTTTCGAAAATTTATTTTGTCATTATTACTCCTTAGGTCATACAACTTTTATCTCAAACGTTTTTAATAAATTTAGATTTAGAGTGTTTATACAAGGACTAATGAGCTAAGCACGCTAACAGTGCAACAACTGTTTTTTAATTCGCAATTTAAATTACATCTGTCATTATTCCATATGTTTCGGTTCTCATAGAACCATCCTCAGTGGACACATAACTTATAAATATAATAGATACATATTATTAACCGATCTTGTTCGTCAATTGAAACGTTGCCTAATTATTGTTGTTTTTTTTATAAATCTAACTTCTTTCATATTGTTTTAGTGGATTAATTTAATAAGGGCTCTCTGTATATAGATATAATTAATTAAAAGTAGGTATTATTAATTGAAAAATTAATTTTGTACATTTAATTATAGATATATATTTAAAAATACAATACAATCTTATTAATTAAATTAAGTTTTTTTAACACAATCTTATCATACATTTATTAAAACATAATATTTTTGCAGATTGCCAAATATTTGTTTGATAGTTTCTGACTCTAATATAAAGTTGCATTAGAAAAATTATTTTTCAGTAGCTTTTTCTGTTATTTTCAAATTATTTAGTGATTTTTTAGTACTATAAAGTAGAATTTTTTAAATAGAATTAATTTTAATATACACTGTGAATATTTATTGATGTGTATTAATAATTAAAAATAATAAAATAAATAAAAATAGTAGAAAAAATAGTTGAAGCAACGATCGAAAAATTATGGAGATTTAAGAATGCAATAAAGAATTTAAAAATTTATTTTTGTTATATTACACGCACATGCTCACGTGCGCATGCATGCATATACACACGTATTGAAATATGCATTTAATGGATAACGCAATGTCCGGGTGCGAGGGATATACTTAAGGTCGGAAAGAATTAAATAAAGAGAAATTATATATCTGGAACAGTCTGATAAATGTTATGATTCATTACAATATACTGAAAAGGCGCGATCGATATAGCGGCGCGCACGGTAAAACATATATTATCCGCGAGAGATACTCAAGCGGATGACAAAACGTGTGCGATGTGGCGTCGCAACGCGATAATCCTACGTTCGATAAACTGGAGACGCGATAAATTGACATGTAAAAATAAGCATGTGGGGTAACACTACGACATCAAGGGGATACATCAAGGGAGTGGACGTCATGTACAACGAAAAAGGATGGAATGATCCGCGGAGATAGAAAAATGAGAGAGAAACGTGATGCAAATGCGTTGCCGGAAGTGTCAGGAGGGGTTTCGAACGCAAAGAGGGAGGTTTGTCTGATGGTGCGAACGGTGGAACGCGAAATGCGAGGAGCACGCGTGAGCAAAGGATGGTAGGAGGTTATAACCGACGGATGGTGGGGGAGAACTCGATGAGGTGGCGGAAGAGAAGGGGTTTGATACGGACTTTAGACAGCTAGCAATGGCTCAGTTTGCTTCCGTTCCGTGTTGTACGAGGTTCTCGTGCGTTTTCAATTGTAGTTATCATTCCGTACACTGATCCGTTTGAGAGAGAAGCTCGCTCCCTACTGTCGCGTAACCCCTTGTTTCGCCTGAGGAAATTCGCAACGAAATAGTTCACGTACGGTGTATATCGCTGCAGGAAGTGTTTATAAGTGCGTGTATGAGGTGCCTAGTATTTCGTCGAGTGCTTTGTGCTTTCGGGATAAACTTCACGCGTGATCACGGATAGAAGATCATGTTGACGAGAAACCATTGCTGTTTTCTTGCGTTACTGTTGCTTCTCTTTGGATGTATCCAAGGTAAATAATCATATTCTGTAATTGATTCTTTCTTTGTAGCAAAGTTTGCTTATAATGTTATCTCTATTAATTGTATTTGATTAATTTACGTTTGAATGATCGGGTTAGTGGTATATTGAATTTTTTCCTTATTTACTTAAAGACGGATAATCTGTTTGGCACCCAATTCAGTTTAAACCATTAACAAAATTACGAAAAAATTGACGTTACATATACATAAAAAATGTTAAACAATAATAATGCATTGCAAAGATCAACGATGTTAACAACTAATGTTTAATGCATTTTAATGCATAGTACTTACATTGATAGTTATTTTAAACAACAACATACCACCGAAAAATGTACTATGAAATAACTATGAAACTATAACTTTTCATAATTATATATATCTACTTATACTCTATGATATTCTATGATATGTCTAGTAAGGTCTTTGTTTATGAACACAGTAAAAATAATATTTGAAATGAATAGGATAAAATAATCACAGGTATTAGAATTATAACAATTTTTTGAACGGTATTATTAATGAAATAGTAATAATAAATGCTTAAAATTAAGTCATAATTACAATATTTTTCATTTTTTGACGTTGTTTAATCAAGTAACGAAAATGCTTTTTATAGCAAAGAATTATCTTATCGGCAGAAACGGTATAATGTAAAGACACAAGGAAAATTTTACGGATAAAAAATATGAAATTTATAAAATTAAAATTCGAAAATATTCATACATAAAATTCAAGTTTTCATTTACCTTTGCATTAAGGTTTAGTATGTTTTACGAATGTATACATACTGCTTTTTACTCATTTTTGTGCAGATTCAAGGTATTCACAAATGCGCGTAGAATGTACGGTATGCGGACGCAGTCTTCTGGAATATTTAAATTGCTATTAAATGTTTTTGGACACTTGTACAAAAACTTGATTTTATCGTAGATAAAGTTGCTTAAACATGATGTACGTGTGAATTCTTGAAATGCATGTTTTACAAAACACAACTACAATACCGCTTATGCAAAGATATTTTCCCAACACATTATTAGATGTGATTATGCAAAATATTAAATATTCAATAGCAAACTAAAATGTAATGCTTTGGAGATAAAGTATTGTACTTTTAAAAAATATTAGAAATAAAATTTACTTTTGCTGAAATAAAAATAAAATAATTGCTCTTCGACTGATAGTATTTGTTTATTGGTCATATTGTACGCAATATGTTATGTATTTAATAACATTTTTCAATAGAATTGTAAACTTACAATTAAAATTGTCATTTAATTACCTTTTGCATAATGAGATCTAATGTATTTTTATTTAAAATATAATCGTACCTTTATTTTTATTATTAGCATTAATTGTTTTGTAATTTTGTTTGATTCCTGAGATATTAGTATTTAACACTTTAAGATGCCTTGTATATCAATATAGATCTATATGATAATATTATATAATTTAAAATATATATTAAAATAATATTATGATAAGAAAAAATAAAAAAATAGTAATAAGAAGAAGGAGAATAATAATAATAACTAAATTAATGAAAATCGATTCATAACGTTTAGAGTTCCGCACCTTACTTGCAGTGCTTATAAATATTGTTAATAATACTTTTTTTGTGATTTATAAAATACATTATAACGGATGAAATTTCAAAGATAGAAATCTTGTACAAAACACACACACATTAAGCTCTACTACACTATATAAAACGCTTGGACATGTATCAACGTAATTTTTATACAGATTTTTAAAAGATATAACTTGTCAAAGTCGATGAGCAGTCAACTTTTTCTTGTCATCTTCAAAGAAATTTAATTTATTTTACTTTTATTAAATGTTGTAATGAATGTGTTATAATATATATTCTCATTTGTAAGTTACATATCGAGAACATTTGCAATATTTTATCATCTCACAAAAAGATAATAAAAAGGATCAAAAAAAATTTTGAAAATATTTATGCGAATCGAGAACATTACAAATAAATATTTCTGTTTTTTTCTTTTTTCTATAAGTTCTTCAATTATGAATTTAGCAAGCATTCTTAATTCTTAAAAACATTTTGACGCATTTTGTATAAAATATAAATGTAAAACATAAACGTCACACTCGGAATGGCATTGCCCGAGCCAACTTTGATTGTTCAGAACACTCATAAGGATGAACATATTTTAACAGATCTTTTTTCAATCGAAACGCCAGACGATAAGGAATAATTATTGATAAAAAAAAAGTTAGGGGAACATAATGAAATCACGGGGTATAATGGGATACACTCAATAACTTTTTACAGAGATGCTACTATACAGGGTGTCCGGAAAATCGAGGTCAATACTTCGGAAAGTGATTCGGGATCCAAAAAGAAGGAAAAAAAGCTATATAAACATAGGTCCAGAAATAAGTCGTTTCCGAGTTATAATTTTTATATTAAAAAAATTGTAATTTATTTTTTATAATCATAATCGTAATTTATTTTTATAGTGTTTTAACATAGATAACTACATTTCGGACTATTTTGACGTTAATCAGGATGCACCACGTGGAGGTATAGTCTGCTTGATATCCCTCTAGTAAATAAGAAAAATTTAAAAATAAAGAAATAAAAAAAAGGATGCTAAGCAGACTATGCTTCCACGTGGTGGGTTAACGTCAAAATAGTCCGAAATGTAGTTATTTATGTCAAAAACATTATGAAATAAATTACGATTGTAATTATGACAAATAAATAACAATATTTTTAACATAAAAGTGATCATAACTCGGAAACGAATTATTTCCGGACCTATGTTTATACAGCTTTTTTTCCTGCTTTTTGGGTGCCGAATTACTATTAGATGTATCTTATTATATTGTATACTGTTATCAATTGTCATGCTATTTTTACCTGAAAGTTGCTAAAAATTGTTTAATGCGTTCGCTGTGGTGTCCACGACTGAATTACAATTTCTTTGATATATTCGCGTAAAGAAAGCAATAATAAAATTCTGTTTTTTATTACCACAAGTACATTTATTCTAAACGATCTCTTCTTGTCATTTTAGTAAAATTTATACAAATGTATTGATTATCTGTGGTATTTTATATTATCTAAAGTAAATTTTTGCACTTCGAGGCATAATGGCGCACTAGTACATGAGGCACAATGGTGCGCCATGGTATCATTTGCCGTGACACATGAGGTTAGCGCCAGCCTTTGCATGTTCCTAGAATTGTATAAATGCAAATATTGTAATCATACACGAAATTTTAATTTTTATTCATGTTTAGTAATAGCAGTATACCTACATAATGTATCAAATATAGAATTATTAATAAAAAATTAATAATTAAAAGTATAATAATATGTTTCTACTTATATTTCGTATTCCAAATAACTTTTAAGCAATGTTCAATATTAATTTTTGAAAAATAAACAAGTTTTATGTGGTAGTATCCCATTACACCCCGCATAAACGGCATAGTGAGGTTAATGCATGCTTTCGCTAAAACAATAATTTCGTCCTGTTAACCTATTCTTTTGCAGTAAAATTTAGGCTTTTCTTACAGTAAATACTCCAAAGAATATTTAAATATGTAACAAAGTTGATTTATTTATTGGGTATGGGAATAAGTTTCTGCCCTTTTAAAATGAAAACGATGTATTTATTTAAACAAAACAATACAAAGTGAATTTATTCAAAGTATGCTCCGTCGGAAGCGACAACTTTCTTCCACCTTTTAGGTAATAAACGGATTTCTCGAAGGAAAAAATCTGGTTCTTTTGAAGCGATCCATTCATCAAGCCATTTTTGATACCTTCATAAGAATTGAATCGTTCTCTAGAAAGGGCCGATTGCATGGACCGGAACAAACGGAAATCTAAAGGAGCAATGTCCGGTGAATATGGCGGGTGGGGCAGAATTTTCCATTTCACTCCTTCCAAGTATTTCTTGACCGGTTTTGCAACGTGTGGCCTAGCGTTGTCATGTAGCAGAATCAGCTTGTTGTGTCTATTCCGGTCATTTTTCTTTCGAAGCTTGGTTCAAACGTATCACTTGTAGTCGATAAGGATCGCCAGTGATGGTTTCTTCGAGTAATGTTTGCAATTCTGCATCTTCAAATTTTTTCGGTGTATCTTCGCGTTCTTTGTCACGCACGTCAAAATCACCATTAGTGAATCGCCGAAACCATTCTTTATAAGTAGTTCGATGGAGCATGCTCACCATAAATATCTACGAGCAAACGATGCGTTTCCGCAGCACTTTTCTTTAAAATGAAATAATGGAGTAAAACTTCCCGCAAATATTGCTTTTTTGGAATAAATTCCGACACTTTTAACGCAAAAAAAGTTACTCTTGTTTACGCTTCGAACGAATGCCAACTACTGGGCTCAAAAGCTTGAACACTCACCTTTCAAATACATGTATTGTTTTATCAAACACCCAAGCAGTGCTACTAATGACGTCTCTCCACAGTGGGCGGAAACTTATTCCCATACCCAATATTTTTAATATACTTAAAACTTGATCAAGCCTTACTATAACCATTGCCCTGGGTTCCCCTATAAGCCATAAAGTAAACAATAGTTTCGAAAGAAACCACATTTTGTTTAAAAATTCTTATTTTTCGTACGTAAGTTACAAAAATATTTCAAATATGCATTTTGGAAAGCAGAAACATTCGAACATTCAGAAAAAAAATACTGCATTAATGTATTTTTTAAAAAGCATAATTAATTAAAAGAACGAAAATGAATAAAATTTAAAATTTATTTTGGAAGGAACCTCTACAGCACGAAATATTGCAGCAATATTGTATAAAATATTGTTACACATTTTAATAGTGCGAAATATTACAAAAATTGCAGCAATATTGAAATTTTAATATTTTATTGGAAATATTGTAACAATATTGCAAAATATTGTAATTTTAATATACCACCTTGATCAAAAAATTCCCGGAATTCATTCAGAAAATTCAAAATACAAGTTTATTCATCAAAAGTGAT